TTTTACCTTATGGTTGTATCTGAAAAGTAACTGATGTCTTCAAAGGATAGTATTATTTATAATAAAATCATCAGATATTCTTCACCATCCACTTTAAGATATTTTCTCCTTGAACAGACTGCATTGCAGACATAGCACATAAACATATTGGCTAGGTCCGGATTAAAAAAACCTTTGTGACCATCAAGAAAAGGACAATGGAATGAGCAGAGAGATCCAAGCAAGGGTTTTGAATTTAGGCTAAAATATCAAATGTCACTGGGAAACGCCTTGAAAACCACTACCGTATCTATGTTTCCCTACCCACCTACCTCCAAATCATCTGAACGGAAAGACCTTCTCTGACCACATTCTGTTAAGTATGAATTTTCATGCAGATATGGGTCTGTGGGTTTGTACAATAAAACTTTATGATTCTGAAGTATGTGGGAAACACGTCAGGGACGAGAAGGCTCTAAAATGCATTTTTCTTTCATTTACGATACTGCGGCTTGAAGAACAATACTTCCCTTAAAAGCAGGAATAGAATAAACGTCTAACAAATCTTAGACGGCTAAGCAGATCCAATGTTAATTTTTAAGATAAGGGTTAAAAAAACAATTTGACAATGAGATAAAAATAAATTTAGCAGCTTAATTCCAGTGAAGTAAGTTAATGGTATGAAATGACTGATGGGGGCACTGCGTGTACACTAGAAGGAACACTGAATAGGCCTGTGTCTTAGCCTGGGTCTGTCTGTAATCAGCTGTCTGCCCAGGACTATACTCCCAGACTCTGTGAACTCTATATGCTATATGTGAACTCTATATGCTTTTTCTAAGGGAGGGGACTGTCCAATCTCATATGTCAGGTTCTAGTCAGATTTGAAAATTAATGCCTTTTTATCCAGAGCAAGCTTGTGAATACCTGAGATAGAAATGTTGCTTTTAAATTTGATATGAAATTCCTTTACAACTACAACTTTACACCATCTCAGGTCTGTAATTTATAAATGCTTACTTATGACATTGTGGGTGACTTTACCTCATTGGATTTGAAAGTTAACAAAATTTCATAGCTAGCAGCTACATTTATTTAAGTAACACACAGTCTTCATTTAGGGTTCATATTGTATTAAATATGTACACAGTGGAGCTGACAGACCAGTCTGAGCAGTTTTAGCATTACAGGTATATATTATGAGAGGGTAGATGCAATCGTGTGAAATATTTTTAAATGTAATCTGTAAAAAATGTTCATGTTGGCAGGATTTCCTTCTTTTTCAAAAGGCTGAATAATGATCCATTATATGTTTATGCCACATTTTCATTATCTATACATCTGTTGATGTACCTTTAAAGTTGCTTCCACATCTTGGCTATGGTTAATAGTGCTGCAATAGACACAGGAGTTTCAATATCTTTTTGAGATCCTGATTGCAGTTCTTCTGGGTGACTATCTGGAAGTGGGATTGCTGGATCAAACGGCAATATTATGGCAAGAGAAATAAGCCAGCCACAGAAGGACAAATACCCCATGATTCCACTTATATATGTGAGGTGTCTGACACAGTCAAACTCACAGAAGCCAAGAGCAGAGTGGTGGTCGCCAGGGGCTAGGAGAGGGGCAGGGGGAGATGGGGAGTCACTAATCAGCACGTATAAACTTTCCGTTACGCGAGATGAGTAAGTTCTGGAGATCAGAAGCACGACATCATGCCTGTAGATAACAATACTGTATTAAACGCTTAAAAATCTGTCAAGAGGGTAGACCTCATGTTGTCTTCCTCGCAAAATAAAAACACAAGTAAAAAGGCATTTTCTTTTCAAATAATACCTAGCAAATAATACCGCATTTTCTGACATTAATGAGACTGTTCTGACTTTAAGACACCTTTGAAATATTGCGTTTCCTAACTGGACGTACAGCGTAGCTCAGTGATCCTTGGAGGATGTTGCAAAGGCTGCGGCAGAGCCGAGAGCTCTGTGCTTACTAGGTGCCGATCGGCCGTGGCATCCACATTGCATTTCATCCATGCCTTCTGTGAGCTCCTCTTCCCCACCAGACAGAACCAAACTCAATCTTCACTGCACTTTCCTATCTATTTTCTTAAAAAAAAAAACCCTTCTTTCTGGGACCTGGTAACTTCGCATGGGTATAAGACTGGACCCAAGCTTTAATTACACTTAGGCCTATGAAATACAAGCGCTGGGAGGAACCTTGTCATTTACACATCAAGAAATGGAAGCCTTTGCACCTAACCAGAAGGATATCCACAAGCATTTATGACACTCATCCTGTTTATCTTTAAATATGTATTTCTAGAGCAAAGTTGTGACTTTCTGTTCATTATACACAGTTTTATATAAGGAATGAAAGTAAGCATTAAGGACATTTCTTCATCCAGGAAAAGGTTTTATGTAATTAGTCTAAATACTAAACTAACAGCAAAGGACCTTGCTACAGATATCACAAAAGATATCTGATATACTTGGAATTCCAATTGCCAACTATATTCTTATTACTGTTTATCCAAAGACAAGTGGACATATTTTTATAAATTTGGGAGTAAAAAAATAATACCTTCTAATCAAGGCACAGTGAACAAGCTCTTATAATTGGAAATCAAGTGTTCAGATACTGATACTAATTTATGCAAGGATGTCAACTTGTCACATTGAACTGACCTTGCAAATCAGCTCACATCATGCAGTCATAAATCCTTTCTGCAGGGAAATCTCACAATTACTTGTTTTAGTACCAATAAACATCTAAGAATAAATGACATATGTCTTTGTGCTAGTCGGCCCAAGTCTCAGAGTTCCATGAGGATTCACCTGACATGATTCCCACTGCTCTAAGGTCCATTTACTGTTTTCCATCCTCAGATCTCACCTACTGTCCCTGTTCATTTCAGTTGTGTTTATACAATACAAGTAGTTGCAAACTGTGGTTCTATCATATCTCTTAGCTATAAACGAAGGCAATGCTCTCAAATACAGAAATTTAACAGAAATAATGTTTATGAACTGAGATAGATATTCGTTGCATAAGTCCAATAGCATATTTCAAACAACAGATTTTCTTTGCATTAAAGTGCTTTGGACACGTAAAGAGCTGTTTAATTCTAAAACATTGTTTTTCCATGTTATCGTCACTGAAATCAGCAAGAATTGGACATGGTATAATTGACAACATTTTTTTCTTTCTGAATAGTACACATGATAATGGTGCTTCTCACATCAATAACATCTTAAGTTCAATAAAACATGGTCTTTCTTTGCCATTTCTTGTGGGGAAAAACAACAACAACAATCTTCTTAGATAAAAAATAGCAATGCATTTAAAATTATACGCATTTTGGAGAAAAGAGTTTAATTTGGAAAGCGGTTTAATCTCTTCTACTCTTAACTACGCAAGCATTTAAATATGCACACACATATCAAGTATAGTTGAGGACTCTTCTGATTTCCCTTCAAGGCCTCTAACACTCACTTTCACAGATTTTTAAAAATCAATCTTATAATTATTTTCGTGCCTCTTTTTCAGTAAGACAGCACACATGCACTCATTCAATACTCGGTATGAGTTTCAATTCTCACTCAGAGAAAAACCAAGAAACATTATCTCTTTTTCCCCTCCTTCTTGTCACTTACATTCCCAGTTGCCCGAGAGATGGTATAACCGTATATAAAATAATTACATCTTTTAGGTTTCTTGGAACAGAGACGTTAGATGTTGTCCGTTAAGGGTATTAGCACAGTCATACTCTGAATCCAATATAAAAGGGAAAATAGCAAAGAAATTGAAAAAATGAAAAGTGTAGAAGAGCACAGGAAAATACTCTACCAGTAGTATTTTATTTCATAATGCAAACAACCCTTTCTGTCATCATGAGCATTGACATATGTACAGTTTGAGAAGGGTGAGAAATAGACTAATTTCATTTAATCTCGTGATTTCTATCTGGATGGCTGGCCAGTGGAAGAAAGAGAGAGGCATTCCCACATGCAGTACCTGACAGCTCAAATCATCATCAGTGGGCAAAACTAGTTTAAAAGTGAAACGAGATTAAAAAGACCTAAAATATCTTTCCAAAGCCTTTGCATTAATTAAGTCTTTGTAATAATGTTTATATGTCTTCTCCTGAATTATAAACAGTCTTTGTCTTGACACTTAAACTGTTTACCAGCTGTTTGAGGTTTAATTTTCTCTTAGTCACTTATGAAATAGAAGTAGTCACCAGAATGTAGAAAGAACACTAGCGACTAAATGCTGAGAAGACTCCTTTTTATGACATATTAAAAGACATTACTGTTTACCCGGCTGTCAAGGAAACCAAGCTAGAATGAGTAGATTTGTTCAACTCTTCGGCAAAACATTTCCCAAGAACCACGACCTCAACCAACATCATTCTCACCAAGGTATCAGCCTGTGGAAAAAGTTTTTACAGTAAAACATATGGCAAGGCGTTAAATCCCAGAAATAGTGCCATTCTACATTCATCGGGGGAAAAAAGATTAAGCCCCAAAGTAAAAACTGTCAATTACTGTGATTGCTTTGTTGCACTGAAAGAGTTCAATTACATCACAAAGAATTTTAGAAAGTACTCATTTAATTAAAATATGAACTCTCCAAACCACCTGCAGCTTTCCCTAGCTCATAAAGGAGCACATTTTCCATTTAAATAAGAGTCCGTTCCCTATATTCACCAACAACATGCATGACGGATGTGAGCAGTACCATCAAAGCACTTTCTACTTCTCTTCATTTTCTCTTTCTTCTTCCTTTCAAAATGATTTTACATTCATGTTTTAGACATCTGTGCCCTTTAGTATCACACTTAAGAATCCGGACAGTATGATGGGTAAGGGGTTGATTACGGAAAGTAATCACGCTCTGCATTGATGAATGGCTGTTGACAAAATGATTTCTATCATGTAACTGAGACTTTAAATTCCACATAAAATGCTACAACTCAAATGACACTGACTAGCTATGAGCTTCTGGAAGTCACCCACCTGGGGCAGCATGCGATTTTCCTCCTCCAGCTGTCTTACTCTTGCCTCCAGCTGCCTAACATAGGACAAGGTTGATTCTAAAATTGAAAAGAAAGAACTCACATTATACACACAGGTCTTGTTTGGTACACTGTCAGGATGTTTCTGGCTCCATTTATTCAAATCAGGTAGTGACTACTTAATCTGATATTTAGAAAAAAAGATTTCTCCCCAGAAGAACAATAACAGAAGCCATTAAAACCATAAGCAGTCTGAACAACTGCACAGTGTTAAGGAGAATCAGAGAAATTTACAGGCGGTTAAGACTGCAGGTGTCTGCACACCATGCAGCCTTCAGAACATTAGACACGTTGAAGACAGTTATTCCCTCTTTTCTACTTATTTTGCGTATGTATTTTAAGCTTTCCCACACACAAGACTTCTTGTAACATTCATTGTAACAGAGAAATTACAAGGTCTTTTTAAAAAATAGAAAATAAGAAGATATGTAAAATATCCAGCTCCCTTCATTTTCTCAATAAACTTCAAGTCTTAAGAGCAACATTTTGTTTTTCTCACAAATCTATAGATAGTAGGACTATACCTAGAGAACAGCTACAAAGGGGCTAAATAATGTTAGTCTGAATTTTGACTTTGGCCGAGCATGACAGAGACTCAAGCTTTTCCCTTTTTAGGTAAACCAGGGCAGACTTGAAATTTGTTGTTTTCATTTCTTCAACAAGCTCAGGTGTGTGCCGACAGCTCAGAATCAGCATCATGCTTAGTATCTGTTCCACAGCAAAACTCTCGATTTTATAGCTTTACATTATGAAAAAGTTCACACGTGGAGCAAAGTGGAGTTTTCATTTTGAGGAACCATCTGACAGAGTCCCTTCTTCATTAAATCCAAAATAATCAACTGCACAGCATCATACCGCAACATAGTTGCAATTCATTCATTACCCAAGAGCAAACATATTTCAGGTATAGTGAAATGTACATGACCAAAGAATCCCTGCAGAGCATATTTCCACAGTTAATTTTAAAGCAGCAGATCATGTGCATGTTCCTCAGCCTCAACAACACAAAACAGCAAGAGGCAAGGCCAAGAAGGTAGTGCGTTTCAGAAGGAAACATTTGGAGCCCCTAATAATCTGCAGTTAGGATGGATAGGATGCAAACTAATACCTTGATCTGAAATTCATCATAGAACCTCTTAATTTTTATACGGAAATTGGTTATATGAACCCAATTCCATTGTGTGACCACCAAAGCAACAAGGTAACATTTTATTTTCTTAAAATACATAAGAAACTTCAGTCCTTAATTCACAAATGTAAAAATTAAACTCATCCCTAACCGGTTTACAGCATGCCTGTCTTCACAAATGTTTGCAGAAAGTCCCCATCACTAACATTAATATAACCATCCACTGATCTCACACCACTGGTGATGACTTGCCTTGAGCATTTCTCAACAAGACAGAAACACAAGGTAAAGGAAGCCGAAGACGTTCGCTAGAAATATGCTCTCATTTTTTTAGCTCAGTGAAATGTTAAGTGTTTGCTCTATGGACTCTTCAAAAGGGGAAAAAAAAAGTATCTGGCATAATGAATAACCAACTTATTGATTTCATGAATCCGCTTTACTCTAGCAGATGAATAAGTGATTTGCTGATCATCAAAATGTGAATGTAGATTGCCTGATTTACAGTTTTGCAAGCTCCCCTCTCTACTCTAAAAAAACCACCACTTGACAAGGGTCATTCGAGTGAAAAGTTGCTCAGAAAGAGTCTATTTAAACCATAAACAAATAAAATTCTTTTTTCCTTTGTTCACAATTTACACCGTATCTTTATTGTCCCTATACTGCATCAACCTTAAGGCTGTGATACTGAAAGCAGCCGAAATGACTCTATACAGAGTGATTCAGGTGACATTTGAAAAATGCCACTGAATGGATTTTAATTCAGTAACTATCTTCAGTCACTTTAATCTATTTCTCTTCTTTAAATCTTTGCAGTTTACATATTTGATGCTTTCATTAAGTTTCTACTTACATTAGGAAAGTCACATCATGTCAGTTCCCAAAAAGGGTAAATTCTTGAATTTGGAAAACATTCCTTAACTCCAATTTTTAATGTCAAGCTACAACAGATGAAGTCCAAATCTCTGTTTCAAAGCATTCACTGCAAATATGGGCAGGGACAGGAAATGACAGGGAAGATTTTTAGACAGGTAACGTAAAAAAACAAATTAGCTCCAAGGTAAAGGCAAAGCTAAGGAAAGTTTTGAGTTCATTTGCTCCACAAATACTGATTGCGTCACTGACATGTGTTGGGCACTACGAGGGTTGGAATGAAGAAAAGGCCAGTTATTGCAAGTCTTAAGTTTCTCAGAATGCAAATTTCAATTTAGGATTACACACCCATGTGCTATGTGCCAGAAGTCCTGTTGTTCCAAGCTCACTCTCTTTTGCAATTATTATTTACCAATGAACAGATATGATGAATGAAAACACTCGTGTGTGTATGTGGGTGGGTGGGGTTTGGGGGACAGGAAGTATAGTTAATCTGCATGAATAAAAGAGAATTCACGCTGTTAGTTGTTTAATTCATCAAGAAACTTTTTATATACTCCTTTTATATGGGAGTGGAGCAGGCAGACTTTTTTCTGGAATATACTGGAGTCCCTATATGAAGTCCCTATATGAAGAGCCATTGAGGAAAGCATCCAATCCTTCAATTGTGACATGAGAGAAAAATAAACATTTGTTTTGTTAAACCCTCATGATTTCAAGATTTATTTGTTATTGCATCATAGGCTAGCCAAGCCCAACTACTAGTATATTACGAATAATGGGACAGAAAATAGGTAAACGTTTTAATAAAACATAATAAAGTATAAGAAATTCCACTTTAAAAAGTACACCGCAATCCACATCCCAGTCCTACTTGATCATTAGAAAAAAAAGATAAAATCTTCTGTGTAAGAAAGAAAAGGAGCCCCTTGTGTGCTGGAATATCTTTGACCATGTCTCCTACAGTCTCTTCCCCAAGCTGCTGCTTCCTTTTCCTTCCTTACACAAGGACCTTCCAGAGTGGTGTCAACTATAAGATACACACTTCCATTACACCCAGGAAGTGTGGAGAACCACTGTGCTCCCAAGAGAAGTACATGACAAAAATTGGTGCTTTTATTATAAAGGGATACATACACGCACGTGCATGCACACACACAACCGCATTAGAATGTACTATCATTTGAACTGATCATTACATTTATACCAGTGGCTGACAGCTGCTAAAACAGATTTCAGAATGTCATTTTGGCTTTCAGAACTCTGAGAATGAGGTTCCAAAAGAAAATCAAGGCTCCTGCAGAAAACAGCCAAATACGAGGCTATACTCTACATCAGGGGAAACCAGGAACCAGGCCTCATAGCAGGAGGGGAGCAGTGGGTGAGCGAGCGAGCATCATCTGTACTTAGCCCTTACAGCCGCTCCCCATGGCTCGCATTACCACCTGAGCTCCGCCTCCTGTCAGATCAGCGGGCGGCATTAGATTCTCATAGGAGCGTGAACCCTACTGTGAACTGCGCATGCGAGGGGTCTAGGTTGTGCACTCCTGATGAGAATCTAATGCCTGATGATCTGAGGTGGAGCTGAGGCAGTGCTGCTAATGCTGGGGAGGGGCTGCAAATACAGATTATCATTAGCAGAGAGGTCTGACTGCACAGAGACCATAATAAATCGCTTGCAGACTCATATCAAAACCCTATCAGTGGGACTTCCCTGGTGGCGCAGTGGTTAAGAATCCAGCTGCCAATGCAGGGGACATGGGTTCAAGCCCTGGTCCGGGAAGATCCCATGTGCTGCGGAGCAACTAAGCCCATGCACCACAACTACTGAGCCTGCGCTCTAGAGCCCATGAGCCACAACTACTGAGCCTGTGTGCCACAACTACTGAAGCCTACGTGCCTAGAGCCTGTGCTCTGCAACAAGAGAAGCCACTGCAACGAGCAGCCCACGTACCACAAAGAAGAATAGTCCCCGCTCGCCACAACTAGAGAAAGCCCACATGCAGCAACAAAGACCCAATGCAGCCAAAAAATAAATCAATCAATAAATTTATAAACAAAACAAAACAAAACACCCTATCAGTGAGTGCCAAGTGAAAACAAGCTCAGGGCTCCCACTGATTCAGCATTATGGCGAGTTGTATAATTATTTCATTATATATTACAATGTAATAATAATAGAAATAAAGTGCACAATAAATGTAATGCGCTTGAATCATCCCAAAACCATCCCCCCAACCCAGCTCCCATCTGTGGAAAAATTGTCTTCCATGAAATGGGTCCCTGGTTGCCAAAAAGGTTGGGGACCGCTGCTCTATGTAGATATACAATATATTAAAGAAGGATCCTATCTTCAAGAAGTATATAACCAGTTGAGGGGCGATAAAGAGGAAAAAAATAAAGCAATAGGTAATATGATATTCAGAGCTAAATCATGTGAAACAGGAGTACAAAAAGATCAATACTGGCTGCAGTTCTTCTGAAGGAGAAACTTGACTAATGGATCAACAGAAGCTTGAGAGACAGAGAGATGCTAGTAGAGCCACAGGACGGACAAGAATGATCCTCTTGTAAACAGGGAAGAGAGAAGGAATTCACATGAAGGAAGAGAGAGGGACATACTGGAAGCAGAAGGAGGAAAAGCCAAGTTGCATCCCACATTCAGGGATCTAAAGACGCCAGTGTCAAATCACAGCCATGCAAACGGTGAGATTTGCTTTTAACTTCCCCCCAAGGGCATTTTACTTCTCTTTCCTGGGAAATCTCTGGACATCTGCACATTAGAAAAGCCAGGTTAAGCAAACAATACCAATGTGAAAATCCAATGACATTCTCAAGAGGTTCTTTGGGTAAATCTTGGGCATGTTTTCAAAGCAGAAACCATTTTCTCCATGTACCTCACTTTTCTCTGAACCTACACGCAGAAGTTCACAGGACCTCTTGTAATAAAACAAGTATGAGAAACAGTCATAAGAATTCCGCTAACACACATCTAATTGATTCCAATTTGAGAACTGGA